ACACACACTCTCTAATCAGACTCATACGCTCTCCGATCAGACTCACACACTCTCTAATCAGACTCAGACTCACACGCTCTCCGATCAGACTCAGACTCACACGCTCTCTGATCAGACTCTCACTCTCTCTGAGGCTGATGGAGTCTGGATGCGGTTTGAGCAGATGCAGCAGCAGCAGAGCGTCTCTCACACACACTTGCAGCCGCTCGTGGTTCTGCTGGACGATAACTTCTACTACCAGAGCATGAGATACCAGATCCAGCAGCTGGCCAGGAAGTGTAGGTGCAGTTTCTGTGTTTCTGAGAGCTGAATCATGTAAACACAGTTCAAGCGCTGATGTTCTGATGGTGTTTGTTCTGGAGGACAGACGGCGTGGGTTTCTGTCAGGTGTTTCTCCAGTGTCCACTGCACGTGTGTCTCCAGAGGAACCGGTGCAGATCTCAGCCTGTTCCTGATGACGTTCTGCTGCAGATGTGTGAGCGAATGGAGCCTCCGAACGAGATCAGAAACCCCTGGGAGCAGCAGAGCCTGACGCTAGACAGCACAGACGGCATCGCAGACGGACACGTGTAGGTCAAACACACGCAGATACATCCATCTGACCTGCTGATGTGACCTTTGTGGTGTTTTTCTGCAGCTCAGATGATGTTTGAATCTTTCTGTTAGTAAAATCATTCCTCTTTCTTTCTCTTGAAGACAGAAGCTGATGGACTTGCTGGCGTCTGCACTGGAAAACCCATTGAGCCCGGTCCAGGACGAGTCGCTGCAGAAGGTCAGGCTTTATTCACATAAATCAGATTCATCATAACATCTGACCACAGCTTTGCTTTGCTGCATTTACACATTCATGCTCAAACAGTCACCATTAAACACAGTGAATGATTCAGACACTGCTGCGATCACACGGCGATTTCAGTTCACTTTTGTGCTTTGGGTCGGTTTTGTAAAAGCTCGTCACATTAAGAAGACACGCGTTCCAATGGAGCGGGAGAGAAATGTGATCGGATCGTCCTCTCACTGATCTTGTTTTAGGAGGCTGACAGACGGATTTGTGCGTCCAGCGTTCTTCACCAGGCTGATCAGACGTGCAGACGACTGGTTTCTCAGGCGCTGACATCAGCTCGCGGTACAGAGATCAGATGGTGCTTTGAGTTTCTCCTGCTCATGTCACGTTTGCACTGATTTATGCTGGTGTAAGCCACTGTTGTGCTTGGTCTCGTCACAGAAGGCCAGGCGTCTCCAGACGTGCTGAAGGCTCTGGCTAAAGCACTGAATGAGCTGAAGACTGTGTTCCTGCAGGAGCTGAAGAAGGACGTTCTTCATCGCGTCTCGGTTTTCCCAGAGGAGCCCGTCGATATGGAGAAGCTGCTGATGGACGTGTCTGCAGCGTTCCAGCGACACTCACACGAGATTGTGTCCAAACACGTGAAACATGACTGATTCCTGATAATAAATCAAACTATGGTTAAGTCTTTCTGATGGACTTGTGATTGTGCATAAGATGTCATTTTTTAATATAGTTTCTGCAAATGCATCTGCCAACGACTGACTGGTTTTCATTTGGAGATTCATTAAGTTTGTAATATTGTTTGTTTTTCTTTACAAAGATGGAGATCGCACTTCTATATATTAAATTAACATTATTAATGAATTGCAGAAATCCATCATTTGTCAGCAATGTCAACAAGGTTTCTAAATATCAAGATTATTGACAATACTAATGTATGACATCAGTCACATTCACCATCGCTGATAGACTGATCATTATTAAATTGACATTGAATTATTAGTAACATGAGTTTGCTGGTTCATTTGACTGCGTGTAATATTTGTATATTTTTAACGACGATTTTAAAACACTTATGTTAGCATCAATAAAAAAATAAGTATATGAAATATATAAAAATAAAAAAATGTAGTTTTAAGCTAAACGTGCATTCAAACAATAAATAATTAGAATATTCATATTTTTGCTCCAAGAGGTTTCAGCGAGTCAGTATTATTAAATACACTTCTGCACTCACACACACACACACACTCTCACATACACACTCTCACACACACACACACACTCACACACACACACTCTCACTCTCACACACACACTCACTCTCTCACACACACTCTCACACACACTCACACACACACACACTCTCACTCTCACACACACTCTCACTCTCACACACACACACACTCACGGACACGACACACTGTAAGTGTGAGTCGCCATGGCAACTGAGTCCAGAGCAGTGCGCATCGTCATGGCGACCGCGGTCAGAGTGATGAAGCTTCTAAACGAGGCTGTGTTCAGAATGCCGTACTATATATTTTAAAATATTTTTATTTTACGTTTTAATTTGC